CATTAAACAACAGCAAGTTATCTTGATTAGTTGTAAATTTTAGTTATAACCAACAAAATGAAAACAAAAGCTTTTAATTGTGTACTGAACCAGCTAGTTTTTGTTGTTCCATGTAATTAAATAATAATAATAATAATAATTATTATTATTATTATAATTATAATAATAATAATAACAATAATAATAATAATTATAATAATAATAATAATTATTATTATTATTATAATAATAACAATAATAATAATAATAATTATTATTATTATAATAATTATTATAATAATAATAACAATTATAATAACAATAATAATTATTATTATTATTGTTATTATTATAATAATAATAATTATTATTATTATTATTATTATTATTATTATTATCATCATCATCTATACAATATATAATGCATGAGTAATGGCAATTGATGTAAACATTTTTTGTCATCTTTTGAACTTTCAATTTTACCCTTACAAAAATTAATTTTTATCTTAGTCACCTAGTCATATTTTACGAATATAACTAATTATTATTGTAACTACCAAATCACCATAATCATATAAACCAAAATTCTTCCATGAAAATTTTATATAAATTTTTTGTATGTAACAAACAAAATCTATACAAACTTGATTCATTTCAATTGCTTCCTAATTGCACACACATTTGGGTGTGCCTTAACATTAGTAATTTCTGTCGCTTATCCGAAAACAAAGAAGTTTTGGAGTTTGAGGTACTTAGTTAAGAACAGTTTGGCAAGCGTACTAAAAAATAAAGGGCTCTGTATTTTTTTTTTACATGTGAGCAGAGGCTCGAATCTTACAATGTGCCATTAGCACAACAAATTGGGATTAACCCATTCCACATCTTGGTAAACGCTCAATGCTTGATCACTAAACTGAAAACTTAGATCATTCCTATTAACTATTACAAGGTAAAAGCAGTACTTGTTAAACATAGTACTCAGCTTTTGGATGTCATGTATCAATGTTGTTATCCATGCATTCGTTGATTTTGTCCCTTGAATTTGCTATAGGAGATTTTGACAGGAACTCCAATGTTGACTAGGCTGCATCCCTCTTCCCCTGCCTTGATTAGAGCAAGCTTAACTCCTTCAGAAAGATGTTGAATTTGATTCTCACTTGCTCTTTCTCTCATTGGCCATCGCATTAGATCCTGTACTCTTCCGTCATCTGCCACAATGCCATACCCTACAGCCTTTGCTTCTTTGCTCCATTGTATAGCTATCCTCAGATGCACTCCTGTTGATACAATATCAGCATTTTGACTAGCATTTTGGACATTGTGTTGCTGTGGTACTATTGTTTTGCCTATGCTACAACTCCTAGCTTTCCTTGCTGCATTGTCAAATTCCATCCAAGCATTACAGGCTTTAGTTATCACTCAAGATGGATCCTGTAATTTGCTGTTGAACTTCTTCTCATTCCTGCTTCTCCATATTTGCCACAAGGTGTAGGCCGTGAGACCTATATGATCTTTCCCTTGAACCCTGTGTCTTGTTTCGGTTACTGATGGCCACCAGTTTTTGAAGTTTCCTGTCAAGTTTTTAATTCCATCCCATTGCACTGGAGCCAACTTCCATATCTCTTTAGCTCTGCTGCAATCTTGCAACATATGTTCCAGTGTTTCCATTTCCTCTCCAGAACATGAACATATGAGATGTCGAATCTTCACCCTTCCTTTGGTCCTTTCCAAATGAACAGTTTAATTTTGTGACTAATGTCTAAGCTCCAAAGTACGTTGTTGGTTTATTGATCTCTTCCTTGCCTCTGCCTCTTCTGCCCATTACCGTTTTATATCCGGATTGCACTGTGCATTCTCCCATCTTGCACTCTCTCTTCCTTTACCTCCAGCGCTGATGCTTGTATTCAGCAACACAGTAAATCTCACTCCTACTCCGAAACTCCTACGCCATTTCATATATACAATTACAGTAAAATTTTTTAAAAACACCCCGAGAATATATTTTAAAAATGAATAAAATAGAAATTTTTATTAACAAATACTAAAATATTAGGAATATGTATGTAATTTCACTATTAATATATATATATATATACACACACACACTAGTAATAGTTCACGTGATTGTAATATCTTAAAATATATTATTCTTTAGATACTAAAATTTTTTTATGAAAATTTGATCATCAACATCATAATATAGTATTTTTATGTTATTTATTTTTTTAAGCTAGTTACTTTTAAAAATTTTATTAAATGAAAAGAGACCGAAAACATTCCAATGTAATTGACATTTCCTTTAGGATTGAATTTGGAATCATGTACCAAACACTTTTTGATTTATTGTTTGAACTCTAACATTTCAAATATTGATAACATCATGTTTTACCAAAATTATTGTATATTCATGATTCTATTGCATATAAACCATAATCATTGTAATTTTTTATAAACAAAGAATATAATTAAGTTAGAAGAATAAATGAACATACATGTAATTTTAAATTCTTTGTATTATGTTGATTCTATGTTTGTCAATAATGGAGTATAAATGATTCACGACGTAAAGTTTTTTTGGCTTGTATATTCTGACAATTGAAAGTTTATAGATAGAGATAGTTAGAGTTTTTCTATTTTCCTTTTTTTTATTCATATCTTTAGCACAATCCCATGCGAAGCAAAAGCAACAAGTCTACTTTTTCATATGAACACAATATTTTTGGTTTTAGTATTATTTTTTTGATGATCATGGAATTGGAGTGAGAATTGTGGCTAATTAACAATTTTAATATTAATTTTTTGTATATTGCAGTGTTGTATTTTTTAATTGCCAATTTTTAATCCATAACCGCCATCATTATTATCAATTATTGGAATGCACTAAATGTCTAATTACAATTGTCACCATAAATAAAATTTACTTAATTTTAAAGTTTTTCATTTCATAACCGTTTCCATTATTAGCTAATATTTCAATACAATAAATATATGTAATCATTAGAAAAAATAAGGGTATTTTGGGCATCACCAAAAACAATTTGGATAACATTTTCATTTTATCATTTTTCATTTTAACTTTACTCTTAGTATAATTCTTATTTTATCATTAGAAATGGCTTCTGCCTTGATAGATGGATATGGTTTGCTCAAACAAATACAAATGAAGCATTACATATTATTGTCAATAATAATGTGTGTCTTTCCTTGGATATAAGTGATTTGACTGTTGTCTTTGGTATTATTTGAATTGTATTCTAAATTTTTTAATTCATTTGCTATTTACTTTATGTCATTTTATGAATAGTTTTCAATTGTTTTTTCAATTTTTCTTGTTTTAATCGATTGCTATTAATGATAATAGTGGTTTGTATATTGCTATTTCAGATTTCTTTTTTTCCAATTTAATACTACTATTTCAGTTATAAATATGTCATCATTTTTTGTATATTGAAATTCCATTGGGTGCAATATGAAAAATTCTTTATATTGGCAAAAAGTGCATAATTGTAAAATTTGCTCGTGATATTTGTATGAAAATATACAGATGAACAAATGTTCTCTTCGTCTTGTATGTTTCTTCATTTTCTAGAGAGTATCTATATTTCGACATTGATCTTTTTTTTTTACAATCTTAACTAACGACTAATGATAAATATTTCATGTTTCAATTAAGAAATTTTGATACGTATAATAATCGGAGATGGAGTCCAAGGGAAGGTAAATAGTTTTTAATGAGCAATTTTTAATTATAATTACCAATACTATCAAGATGTAATCAATTTGAGTGTTTTATTTCTTTTAATTAGTGCCACATTAAAATGCAATATTCTAATTAAAAGATACGAGGGTAATTAAGGGATAACAAAAACTAAAATAAAAAAAAATTTACACTTATACTCCCTAATACCAAGAGTGGAGTGCAATGGTAGGTAAATAGTTTTTAATGAGCAATTTTTAATTATAATTATCAATACTATTAAGATGTAATCAATTGGAGTGTTTTATTTCTTTTAATTATTACCACATTAAAATGCAATAATTCTAATTAAAAGACATGAGGGTAATTTAGGGATAACAAAAACTAAGGTAAAAAAGTGCTTATACTTACACTTCCTAATGATAATGATATATGTAATTGAGCCTACTCGTGAGCTAATGAGTTGAGTATTTTTGAATTTGAATTCGACTTGAACTCAATCGACTCGAACTCGATGAGTTTTGATTGGAGTTGTTCGCGAGTGGTTTGACGTATACGCAGCTCTAGTTTGCTGATTATCTTTGAGTAATATCATTGCATCGAGATTAAGTGGTGGTAGATTATTTGAATTTCAAGCAGATCATCTGATATAAGACTTTTACTCTACCTACACCAGCGTGCAAAATAGCCAACCTACTACTTAGCCATATATTTATGGTGTTAACCCACTTCTTTAGAGGAGTTGGCCACCACATGTCTTGTACGTGTGAAAAATCAAGGATTCAAATCTTGCCTCTCATAAAAAAAGTTACAACTTAATGTGGTTTCGCTTAGATCTATTATGATCTGATGGTGATTAACTCCCCGTCGGTTCTCTGTAACCCTGATCGATCATTTCCCAGTATATGTTAGAGTACAAATAGGTGTAGATGATAATAATAAACATATATATATATGGTGTTTGGTGTGCTATGCTAGATTTTTTGCCAACCTCCTACTTAGCCGTATATTTATGGTGTTTGGTGTGTGATATGCTAGGCTTTTTGCTTGTACTTTTGCCATTAGCCGTATATTTATGGTGTTTGGTGCGTGATATGCTAGACTTTTGGCTTGTACTTTTGCCACGTAATATGTTACTACGTCAAACTTATCAAATGATGCATCAAAAATTGTCCGCATGGTTATTGGTTGATAATGTAGTCACGTGTAGTTATTTTTTTCATCATCTATTTATCAAGTGTTTCATTTTACCCTTCTCATTCCAAAATGTTGAATGCAAAAACATTTTTAAACCAAATTCATTCCTATAATCCTCGAATTACTCGAGTAAACATAAGCTAGATTACTGATGATGGGCAATTCACTAGTATACAGAATTGACTACAAAACAGAGAATCTGAATTGGTCGTTGTGCCATATGCATCACATGGATGCTTCACCAACCTTTTTAGTTTAGTAACTGACTCTTACCTGTCATTCTCAATTCTACCATCTCTACGGACCGACAGGGTTCGGAGCAGGCTATGTTTGTCTTATGTTTTTGGTAAGTAGTACCAAGAAGCAAGAGCTAAGTAGTAAGCACCACTGGTACAGCAAGTTTTTAGTGTCTGTTTTAAGCTTTATGGACAAGTCTATTTATAGCTTCACTTGTTTTGTTTATGTGCTTTGGGGACTGTAGAGGAGAAATTGGCAGAGCCCAGATAGGGAAAGAAGGGGAGAGACATGGGGAAGAGCATTAGTGATGTGGGAGTGGAAGACTTGGTTGGAGCAGGCCTGTCAGTTGAGGAGGCAAAAGGGTTCCAAAGGCACCTCAAAGATTCGATTTTTAAGGTTAGCAGAAATAGTGATAACGGGGAGGAGCCGTTTGACACCAAGGAACTATGGAGGGAGCTGACAGCCCAGAAATTGTTGAAACCATGCCATCCACATGCTCTTCATCAGCTCATTTACTATTCTGTTTATCATAACTATGATGAGTCCACCAATGGGCCTCCTATCTATTGGTTCCCTTCACTGTAAGCACTGTATTGATGATTCTTTTCAAGTCTTGGTTGATTTTTGCGATTTTGATTGGGTCTGACAGTTTGGAATTTTGAAGCTTTTCTGTTTCTTCTTCTTCTTTTTTTTTGTTTTTGTTTTTTGGGAATTTATAAAAGATTAATGCAGTTGAAAAGTTTGAATATTGTGACATTGTATTAGTATGGGATTTCTGAGGGACTATGCTGTCAGGTGATAAGAAAGTCAAGACTTTACCTAACAAAAAGAAATGCAAGTCAGACTTTCAATGTTGATTCTCGTGTTCAAAAATTTAGATACCATTTTGTTCTTATAAAGCGTCCAACTCTTTTAAAATAGAAATGTGAATTTCAAGGTTTCGATCTTGAAGTCTTTGCTTTTGTGACAGACAGTAAAGTTCTTTTAGGACGTATACAAGTTGAAACTAATGAAATTCATTTCAGGGCCTGGGGATATTAAGGTTTGGATGGATTTTTCTTCCATTCACTGCAACAGAAATCTTAAGAACTTTTTCCTTTGAAAAATCAAACTGCCCTTTAGGCATAATTTTGGTCAAAGCATTGAGAGTAGCAGAAATTGAACAATTTTTCAGAACCAAGAGAGCAATTTTGTTGCAATTTTCACTTGATGATTGTACATGAGCAGGCAACCAGAATCTGCTTTCTGCAGTTTGATGAAAGGCTTGCATATGTATTTCGCTTTAGTATCCATAAATGTCATGTTTTCTTGCATAAATAAATGATGTAGACTGACCATTTGATATGAACTCGGAACTGAGATATGGATATATTCTGAGTTGTAAATTACACACATATGCATGATTAGACAATAATCAGGCAGATGTGGAAAATTTGTGTCTAAGATGCAAATGCAGGGCATGAGTGGTGGACGTATTAACCAACAAGAAAACTCTTCTCTAGTTGTTGATATGGTGCAGCTTATATTTAGCTCAAATTTATAAAGGCCCTTTAACCCTTTTTAGGTTCATTTAACTGCTTGAGGATGGAAGCCTAGCTGGTAGAGACCACAAACTTTTGCTTGTATTAACTTTAAAATTTCAATGTGTGAACTGAACTTTCAGTGTTTTCAAACCTCAGTTTCAATATTGTCTCTTGCTGTAGTAGGTCTAATGCTTGTTGCTTCCGTCTTGCCATTGTTTGGCAAGTGTTTTATGTAGATTTGCCATGGGTAACATAAGGTAGAAAGAAAAAGAAAAAGCAAGGAAAAGGATATTTTGGACATTTAAGCGGAAACTCCTTTGGAGATCTGAATTCATGTCTTTCCTAGTGCTGGTGTCTTAACACTTTGCATTTGTAGTCCTGTAAAGAAGTATATTACATGGTTCATTTTTTCTGATCTCCCTGATGCAAGTTTGTTAATCTTGTTTCTTGATGATCTTGTGGGATAAATTGATCAAAGGTGTAAAGGAACTCTAAGAAAATCACAGGCCTAATTAATTCTATGGACTAAGCACATGTTAACCTTTCTTGTCCTAGTAATCAAAATGTGGCATCAAAATCGTTTAAAGCATGAAGTTAGGCCAGAAACATGAAAATTGATTGACCTCTTAATGTCTATTCTACATGAATACTTCTATTCCTAACCAGACACCAGGACTTTGATAATAAAGATCTAGTCAATTGATGTTGATTTCTTCCCAGCATTAGGTTGATTCTAGCATAATCTTCATGTCAGGTACCAGTCTAAAAATACAAATTTGGGACGCCTAATGGAAACTCATTGTCCGAAGCTTCTGGGAGCACTATACAAGGACCCAATTGCAAGTTTTAGACAATTTCATAGATTCTCCGTTGAGCAGCTTGAGGCATGTACTCAATTATTAGTATTGTAATCTTTTGTCATTATGAAAATTATATTCACTGTTAAATCCAATTTTTCTTTGTTGTTGAACAACTTTTTGTTGCCTTTACAGGTTTACTGGTCAATTGTTCTGGACCATCTCTCAATTAACTTTCTTAAAGCTCCAAATTGCATTCTTGATACTTCAGACAAATCAAATCATGGGGGAAAATGGTTTCCAGGTTCAGTGTTGAATATTGCCGAGTGTTGCTTGATTCCAAGCAGTTGTCCAAAGAAGCAAGATGACAGTTTAGCTATAATATGGAGAAATGAAGGATTTGATGAGTTAGATGTTAGTCAGATGACACTAAGAGAGCTTCGAGAACGAGTAATGTGAGCTCTTACTTTGAATTCTTGGCTCTATGAACACACTTGTTGAGATTTACTAGTCATTACTTCAAAAAAGTCGATTTCTTTGGTGGTCACCATGTAATTTGTAAAATCTGGCTCAATTGGCCTTATGGTGGGTCTAGGGCTTGATTTCCCAAGCTGTCAGTGCTTCTTCTGCACAAAATCGAAGCCCCTCCTGGCCACCCACAAGCCTACAGCATGTAGAATTGGGAATCTGTGAACTGATACAGTCCTGCTAATTAGGTGACAATGTTTCCAATCTAGCTTCAGGAGCTTGATCCTTACAAGCTGCATCTAACAATTTTCTACAGAGTAACAACCCAAAAACAACAGTTTCATCTAGTATTTTATTCTTCTTGTTGTTGTTCCTTTTTTTCCTTTCTTAATATTTATTCCATGCTAGTGTGCTTCACTAACATACAATCGTTTGAAAAGTATTTACCAGGGCCAACAAAGATCTCCTTAGGAACATGGCATGTTTATAGAGTGTCCTCCTTACCTACCTTAGGTCCAAGATGTTCAGTCTTTGTTTCTTTCCCACTAGTAATGAGAATTGGTTTCCCTAGAGTGCCAGAGGATAACAAAGTTTCTACAGATAAATGACCACTTCATTCTTTTGTTCATACAAGCTTCTTGTTTGCTAGGCTCATGTTTTCTGTTGTTTATTGAAATCAACCTTCTCTGTCTATTCCTTTTCTCACACCAAGTTTTCCATAGGTTAGTGGCAAATGCGCTGGCTGCAAAATTCTCAAAGGGAGATGCAATTGCAATTGACATGCCAATGACAGCGACTGCTGTTATTATATATCTAGCAATTGTGCTTGCAGGTTTGGTTGTTGTCTCAATTGCTGACAGCTTTGCAGCACAGGAGATCGCAACCCGGTTGCGTGTGTCTACAGCAAGGGCTGTATTTACTCAGGTAGTTCAATATAATCTGTACAAGTCTTCTTTACTTTTAAATTACAAAACTGGTATTGAACTTGTGTACAAATATCTCATGTTTAGCTTTATGCGTTTGGTTGATGTACCTGTAATTCACCGTAAATCTTAATGGTGAGGCATTCTTTAGTTCGAGTGCTATGAACTCCAAAAATCTCATCCAATCTTTATGGTGAAAATGTTTCCTTGTTTAGTGTATTCTGATGTTACACATGATTCCTGTTTGAAAATTATATTCTGGCGTGGTAGATTCTTTTCTCCAAGTTATTACAATTTTGGGCACCAACAGTTGCGAAGAAAATATAACTGTAGCCCAATAATGTATAAAAATGCACTGTTTGGACCAATCCTTTAATCTGCTACTGATTTGGTTTACTTCCGACTGGCTGGTTGCAAGGTTAATTTGTTTGATTTGTCTGTTTAAGGCAGTTTTTAGTGGTTGGAATTGCTTCTAAACTATTGAGAAAATTCAGGATTTTATTCTACGAGGAGGTCGAAGAGTTCCTTTATACAGGTAATGATTTGCATCTCATCTTGGATTGGGTCATTTACTTAGTAGCGAAGCTCTTACTAGTTCACTCAATAACTTAACAATAGTGTTTTCCCTCACCATCTGGGTTTCTTTATCAGAGTTCTATTGTCTGTTATCATCTGTAAGCATCATGGACAGTGATGGGTACTTTGACCTGGAATTTATTTTGTAAAATTGGACTATATCATGTATCATCAGTATTTAGGAGCATCGAACTTCTTATTAGAACAAACTGAGACTGAGAGAGAGAGACTCCAAAAGAAAAGAAAACCAAGGGAAGAAAGGAAAGAACCAAATAAACAGTGGAGACAACAAGTAATAACTCAGAGACTAAAAGATTTCAGCGAACAATAATGTGTTACCATACAAGTCACCGTGTTACCTGATCATGTAGCTCCTTTGATTCAGGAATTCAGAGCAGTGCTAATTTTCATTGCACTGTTTGAATGCCTTCAGTTTCCAAGACATCTCGTGCATATGCTAACTATTTTTTCATTCTGCTTTCTTATTGGTTTTCCTTGCATCACATAATTGGTTTAGAAGTACTTGGCTTTAAGAGTTTGATTAATCTGAAAGCTAAGCTCAATTTTCAATCTATTGATCTAAACAAAATCCATGAAGAGAAAAGTCTGTTCGTTAAACACAGAGAATTTAAGGAAGAAGTCCTTCGATTAGTGCAGAGGGGGGTTAACAATGATGGAAGATCTAACGGGATAATGGAATCCTAAGGAAAGATGTGTTCAAAATTTGATGGTTCCTAGTCTCTACAATGGTTATTCGTGATCAGATTTGTTTTTGCAGTCGAGTGGTGGAAGCTGCTCCTTATGAAGCTATTGTAATTCCTGCATCTGGAAAGGAGTTAGCTGTCCAGTTAAGATGCCAAGATTTGTCTTGGAATGATTTTCTTTCTAGCGTGTGTATCCTTCCAAGGTAATATAGATACTGTTCTCTGAAATTGCTTTTTCTTTTAAAACATGTATAGATTCACTAAGAAAGGTACATGTCTAACTTTTAAAAATGTATAAATCTCTTCCAATTTACTGAATATGTCATTTTGAAACATTTTCCATTCTGGCAGTTCAAATTACTTCACACCAGCTTATCAACCTATAGACTCTGTCACCAATATCCTATTTTCATCAGGAACCACAGGTTAAAAAGTTATTTTTGATGGCTGCTTATACCTCCACTTTATTATATTTTTATTTTTATCATGATTTTCTACATGTTTTTGTGTTTATGCTTTGTTGTTCAATAGGAGAACCAAAAGCTATTCCATGGACCCAGCATTCTCCCATTAGGTGTGCTGCTGATGCATGGGCACATATTGATGTTCAAGAGGGAGATGTTTTCTGCTGGCCTACAAATTTAGGTTGGGTGATGGGGCCAATATTGCTCTATTCATGCTTTCTGTCTGGCGGAACGCTTGCTCTATATCATGGTTCTCCTTTAGGCCGTGGTTTTGGGAAATTCATTCAGGTGATTGCCACAGATTCCTGTGTCAGTTAAGAGTAAAATCATTTCTCCTTGAAATGAGGAGAATTGTTATTTGATCCTAATAATGAACATGCTGCGCACATTGGTCCCTTACAAATGCCATTACTGCTAACACGAATATCCTACCAATCCCCTACGTCTTGCCTCTTTCCAATTTATGTGCTTTATTAGGATGCAGGAGCAACTGTATTGGGTACTGTTCCAAGCTTAGTTAAGACTTGGAAGAGTACAGGGTGTATGAATGGCCTAAATTGGACAAAGATAAGGTATGTGTCTGTGAGATTTATATTTTAAGTGGTTCTAATGGTTTGCCAATAAAGTACTAGAGTTTATAATCTTGTGCAGGACTTTTGCTACCACTGGAGAAGCTTCAAACATAGATGATGACCTTTGGCTTTCTTCAAAGGCTTACTACAGTCCCATTATTGAATGCTGTGGAGGCACAGAGCTTGCGTCATCATATATCCAAGGAAACCCTTTACAACCACAAGCATTTGCAGCATTTAGCTCTGCATCAATGTCCACAAGTTTTGTCATCCTGAATGAAAATGGGCTTCCTTATGTAAGCACTTTGACTGGCCTCTACAAGGCTTCAGTATTATTTATTGCAATAGAATTGCTGCAGCAAATACTTTTGAGTTCTGCAATCATTTATGAAGAGATGGCTTATTTTCTGTTCAATAGGCTGTATTGCCAATGACTTGTTGTTGCTGTTTCTTTGTGCCTCTTACAGTGGTATCACTTGAACAATTTTAGTAGACCTTTCAATTGAGATCGACTGATGCTTAATATCTAGTTTTTATGGTACAGCCAGATGATCAAGCATGCATTGGTGAAGTGGGTTTATTTCCTCACTACATGGGAGCAACTAATAGATTGTTGAATGCTGATCATGAGGAGGTGTATTTCAAGGGCATGCCATTATACAAAGGAATGGTATGCTGTTGTTTGACTTGAATTACTTCCTTTTTTAGGTTTTATATAAAGTTGGATTACCTGTTTATATATCAATGCCTAGAAAATTCACTTGAAAAGTCATTTCAACAATTCTCAACTTTACCCACATTATCATGGACTATAAAACAAGCTGCAGCAAAAAGATTTCCAGCCTTTGAGCTTTTGTAGTTGCTTTCTTTAGCTGCTGTTCCTATTGTGTTTGCAATCCTTGAGATTTGGCCTCATTAGCTGTGCACAAGTGTCAGTGGAGCTACCAGGATTAAAAACAGTGCACTGGTTAAAGGAACAGAAAGTATGTGGCTAGAGTTCCCATGCTTGTAAACTTGGGTGTGAATTCGTGATTGCAGTGTTTTTGTGAATGATTTCAAGGCCTCAAGCATCAGTTGACAGAATCCAAAATAACCCTGTGCCTAGGAGGAATCATGCTGTTTCTAACAATTTTTGTCTTGTTTATCCATTGATAGCTGAGGCTTCCCTGGGAAGAATAATATGAGACACATAACAGTAGAAACAGCTAGTTCTCTGTAGGAAACAGCTATGCATTAAGACTATAAGTTGCAAAACAATACTAAGAACCACTTCAAGTCTAGTCCTTCTCAATAGTTGAGAGCTCTGTGATTTAATACTTCATAGAATTTCTGTGGATAAAATCAGGGTGGTCCTCTACTTCTTTTATAAATTAATTTCTATTCTCAGCAACTTAGGCGACATGGTGACATCGTCAAACGTACTATTGGAGGGTTTCTCATTGTACAAGGCCGGGCTGATGATACCATGAATTTGGGGGGGATAAAGGTATATCTTTATCATATTGCAGATACAGTCTCTTTACGTGCACTATCTTTCTGTCTGTCTATAGTTTTATGCTTTTTTGTTTCTGAGATTGCTGCTCTAGTTAATTCAAAAAACACTCAGAGCTATTACCCTTTTCTTATTTTGTAGCTTGCCTTTTTACCTATGTTTCACTGAGAAAACTGATCGTATTCGTATAGAGTCCAGGATGGAAGATTTCTACCTGAAAATTTTCTTTTGAAAAATAACTTCTTGAGTTGGAAATGGATTTAATTTTCTTCTCTAATATAATAGAACGGCTGGCCTTGAGCTATTATTGGTTTTCTGCAAGTCAGTACTTTGTTTATTTGCTACTTATTTATTTATTTTATGTCCTATGCAGACTAGTTCAGAGCAACCTCAACCCTTTATTTAAGGTTTTGCCAATGCCCCTGAAAATGCAGTGATTGTCTTGTTTTCATTTTCGATTACTTTAATTCTTGGGGTGCTAATCCTGCAGCCCCTAACCATTGGAGTACACATGCTAGATAAAGGACTAATGTAGAGTTTACAAAGAAAATCACAAAGAACCTTAGCCACAGCAATGACTTTTCTTTTTTTTTCCCCCCTTTCTACAAACAAAGAATCTGAATCCATCCCATGTCAGTGATGGGGTTAGTTCGATGTTCTGACTTCTCCAAACCCGTGAAGTTGAAATGAATGACAACCTTGGGATAGAGTGCATAAGCTTTACCATGACCCTAGGAAAACATATTCACAGGATATCGAGTCAAGTGCAGTTTGAAGTGGATGCCATGTAAATAACATATTGCATGCTTGCCTGTCCCAAAGTAGCTTGTTCACGATCCGGTGTAGATAGAGGGTGTCACTGCAAGTACTTTTTGCAACATCAGAGGATAGGTAGTATTATTCTGGCCTGCCACTTTACTGCTGAACTTATAACTTAATTGCTATAGATAATTTTCCATACCAAGTGCCAGTAATACTCAGTACTTGGTGATCATGAATCTTGTTGAATAACACACTATATGGAAGTTTTACAAGTCAAGTTATACTTTAGCATCATCTCCCTTGGCCAGTCAAACTCATTTTGGACAAAGGATTTTAATGTTTCTGTGCAAGAGCAGATGTGCTACTGTGAAGTGCTTTAAATTTGTGCACTGCAAGAAAACATTCGGTAGCAGTAGGATGACATGGGATGATCAATCTATTCTCCAATCTTCTCGTTCTGTTCCCTGTTGAAAGTGAACCAGAGTCACTGATAAAGTCACATTGCACTAAGCTTGGTTTGATTGGTATAGGTGTCCGATTTCTGTTCTAACTTATTGTAGGTAAGCTTTGTGAAGATTGTCCCTGAGTTTCCTCGAACAGCATCAAATAAGCTTTTAAGAAGAGTTTTAAGAGATCAGTTGAAGCAGGAGCTTAACATACGGAGCAAGATCTGAACATGGGATTGATGTTTCCAAAACTTTGTGCAATAATTACTTTATTTCCTATTCCTGACAGGACTCTGCAATAAGATCATTGAGTGGTTAGTTTCTATGTTTTCCATCATAGCAAAGAACTGTTGATATTGTGATCAAGGGGTCATATAAAGAAATTGGTTTTGTTATAAAGAAGTAAAATTTACTTGAAAAACCTAGATCTGCATCTACAGTGATAATATACTGTGTTGCAGAATTTGCACACTTTTTTTTTTAATCCCCTCTGCTTTTCAGCTTGGTTAAAGCAAGTGTAAAACCAAAACGCATCAGAAAAAGAAAGTAAACTGGTCCTTCGTTGCTGGTAAAAGTCCCTGCGGGCTATCATTTTGTTAAGCGGGTTTAGTAGGCCAATTGGGAGTTTAGTTGGCGATGGAGCTTCTATTAGAGGGACAGAAGTCTACCACAAACCTATCTGCATTACATGCATACTGGACAGAAGTCTGATCTGAAATTCATCTGATCAACCAAGATATATAACCAAATGTAGTCATGTATAAAACTGGACTCTGACTTCATCGACAATACAAAACAATTATTTATAGCCGTCAAAAAAACAATATTGACGGCTGTTGAAAAAAAAAATTATATACAACCGTTTCATGTCTCAATGCCAATACATCAAGTTATGAACAAATTACTATATCAACAATCCGAACTACCTACCTACTTGGGACTGTACAATTCAGAGGAAAATACTACCCTACATTAGTCCAAGAATTCAGAGAGGAAAATGCTACCCTACATTAATTGACAATCACCCTTTCTTCTGCTTTTCCAAATAACAAATATGCTTCCTCCAAGAATTCCTCCTTTATGTGCAGCCCGAGCTGTTCTAAAGGGTTCACAATGTTGCGATTCTTCAGGATTCTCAGCGCCATGACAGGTTGATACCCGCAGCGGACGTAGACAGGAGAACATCCGCTTAACATCTCGAGTTCCTTGAGAATCATCAGATTTTCCTCGAGCTCAAGCTCTACTTTCCTTTTCATTGTCTCCAAAGTAACCCTGGCAGCTTCCCTTTGTTGACCATGGAATTGAAGTCCATCTTTTGGTTTTAGCATATGTTAGGTATGTGGCATTAGGCATGGCCATGGTTCCACTTGGAACCGGAAATCGAACCGGAACCGAATCGTTTGGAACCGGACCAGAACCAGAACCAAAATTGTGGAACCAGAACCGTGGTAGAACCTTAGATAAAGGTTCCGGTTCTGGTCTCTAAAAAATAGAATCAGAACCAGAACCGCCGGTTCCAGAACCGTTAAAAAAAATTAAAAACAATTAATATAAATAATGAGATAAAAATAGAATTACCGGTTCAATAAAGGCCTATTCTAGCCGTCAATGATTGGCATGGAATCTTTATGGAAACATAATGCATTTCAGCAAAAAAAGCTGAAAAGTACAACACTTTCTTATCCACTTAAGCACTAAAGAATTATACAACTGATTCTAGTGTCGTCACAAGCAATGAAAATGATTAAATAATTAATGTTTGTTTTGGTATTCCATCTCAATTTCAATGAAAAAATCAAGTATTTTCTTTTCCATTTAAAATGATTACTATTTGATAGTGTAATGTATTTTTTAATTTGAAAATGTATCGTATTTTTCATAAAATTTGTATTATCTATTTATTACTTCGTACTTTGTTGAATAATAATAAAATTAAAATATGATCTTTATTTTGTATTTATTTTTTACATTCTATTTAAAATTTTAAATATATTTTTATATTCGTATTAAAATTGGTAAGGATAAAATATTAAATAAAATTGTATACAACTATACAGAATCAGAACCAGAACCATAAGGAATAGAAATCAGAACTATAAGGAACCAGAACCGGAACCAGCATCGGAACCAGGTTCTGGTTCTACCTTTTTGAAGAACCAGAACCGGCGGTTCTGGAACCAGAATCAGAACCATCTTAGATGGTGCGGTTCTGGTTCTACCTCTTTGAAGACCAGAACCGGTGGTTCTAGAACCGTGGCCATGCCTATGTGGCAGTTATCTAGGGAGAAATAGCAATATTTATATTGGTTTCAAATCATGGAATGTGATGATATGTAAATGTTTGACATGGTTAACTTTTGTGGTTTGACATATTATGGTTGCCTACTAATGATAATTTGTAATGTTTTGGTTGATATTTTGCTTGCATACTTTTATATTTTGAGTGGGTGGAGTGTCTAAATAGATGATATGGTCACTTTGTTATCACTAAAATTGTTGGGTTTAAAAAAGCTGAATGGTGAAATTAGAAATTAATATGTTACAGTGATGCAGCTGTTGTCAGGAAAAATGACCTTGTATTGTCATTAAAGTTTTAAGCAAGTTTCAATGCATGACTTTTCTTGACAATTGAAACTTTAGTCACAAAGTTCAGGGTCTTTCCCGACAAAGGCTCATCAAGAATATGAAGTCTTTCCCTGACGACCAAATCTGCACGATTACCTTTCCTGGTTATGCGTCACAGAAAATGACACTTTTTTTTATAAGAATTTCACTAGTCTTCAGAGAAAACCTTTTGCCGACGGCGTATAAGTGACCAATCTTCCCTAATGACATTGATGTCATGAAAACTTTTCCTGACAAAATATGTAACTTTTCATGACAAAGATTGTTGTCACTAGAAATCTTTTTTTTTTTTTGGTTGTAGTGTAACTTCTTTCCATCAAATCTTCTCACCTCTGGAACTAAAGTATCACCACATCCAGTTTTCTTCAAGCAAGTCCTGTACCTTGATAGCTCTCCAGTACCAGCTACCATGCTCCCCTCCAATTCTTCTCCATCCATACAACTTTCTACAAGCTTGGCACAAGCCACTCTGTTTTCAGCATGCTACAAGAAGAAAAGGCTCAATATTTGATTTATTTAGTTAAACACTTCCAAAAAAAAAGAAAAGGCATTGAAACGGGGAAATAGACATGCAGTCAACATTGTTTACCTTCATTTCCACATCCCGCGAATTGTATAGCACTCCGGTGGACAAAATCACAGATAACTACCTTCCATCTTCAAAACCTGATTGACATTCTCATAAGAACAACACGAGAACCTTGGTGTTCTTTGTCCAAAAAGCATGATCTCTACTTCCTAAACAAATTCTGGAAAAAAAATCATAATATTACATTACAATGCTGCTTCAGTTATGACATTAAGTAGAAACATGAGCCACGGAAAGGTTTGGTCTGGTAACTAGTGCAACAATTTATCACTCAAAATCCTAAACAGTCAACAAATTAAGCTAAATTCCATTGATTAACCCATAAAGAAAATACACTAGTGTAGATACCACCCTGCATTTGGCACAATTACATGACTCAAACATACATGCAAACTTGGACCATTCCCTTGTACTTCTGGTAATTTGGGTGGAGACATTTCCAAACCACATACCTCCGCATCTTTCTTCAAAAACGATTGGAAACCATAGCTTGATGCTACAGTTGGAGAATGTGTAAAGTGCAAAAAGATGCTTTAGAGGTTCCAGGCTGACTGCCTTGAGCACACTTTTGAGCCTTCCGCAATGTTTCAGCACTGTCATTGCTTGCTGCTTCACTTACACTTGTTGCCTGCAAGGCCATAATATTATCAATCCAATTCACAAAATAGAAAAAGAGCTAGTTATAGTGTCTGAACTTTAAAAATTTCCAAAGATGATAAAAATTTATAGTTTTAAGGGCAAATTCCACTTTACCCCCCCCGGTGGTTTAGCTTTTTTTGCATAACCCCCTATGGTTTCAAAAGCTATACATAACCCTCTTATGGTTTGGATTAAAGTGTCAAAGTGACGGGAATGATCATTCATAACGACGTCACCTAAAATGTCAAAATTACCCTTATGTAAAGTTGAAATTTATGTATTAACCAAAGGGGGTTATGCGTATATTTTGAAAATCATAAGGGGGTTATATGGTAAAATATTAAACCATAAGGGGGTTATATGGTAAAATATAAAAATCATATGGGGTTAATGTGTTAGATATTTATAAGGGTAATTTCGACATTTTTAGAAGTTCCGTTACGAGTAACTATTTCCGTTATTTTGACACTTTAATCCAAACCATGAGGGGGTTATGTATAGCTTTTGAAACCATAAGGGTGTTATGTAAAAAAAGGGTAAACCATAGAGGGGTAAAATGTAATTTACCCTAGTTTTAACAGCACCCTAGTTCCTCTACAAACAATTTCAACTTGATCGACATTGAGCTAATTTTATGGCAATCATAACACAGAGCCCTACGGAAGAGATAATAGTGAAGATTAAGAACATATCCATCCATTAAATGCTAGCGGTAACAACAAAAATTGTAATGTTCTCCCCAGATTGCTATTTCATTGGCTTTAATGTTGTTTGGAAATATCAGTGACAGGAAAAAAATAACATACCCCATTGAAGCTGAATGGTTACGCTTGCAATGTTAGTGAATTTCATGGACAAATAGTCAGTACCAAGTTCACATGTAGTAGTGAATTTTACCATGCTCATTAATCCTTTTGATGGTTTAGAAAAGCAGATGAAATCCATAATTTTATTGTCTTTCAATTTGCTCGTAACTCTAATTTGTTAATGACAAGAATTAGTTTATCAATTGAATGAGAAAGTAATCTTCAGCAGAAGAAGTAGAGAAACAGATAATTATTACATAGAATAATTATCAAATACGGGTAGAATAAGATGATCCAATAATGAGAAGCAATTAATTAAAATTTTGAGATGAGATCTTACCGGATGGCTCAGAAATACCGAAAATCAATTTTACGCTCCGGAATATCAGAGATCTTGGGCCACTCGGAGCCGCTTTGAGGAGTGCATCTTTGATTTAATAGAGGACAATCAAAAATTTCCAGACGTCTTAATTTGAGGCGTTCCATGGCATCTACGGAGGGTAAATATTCAAGCTTTGGGCAGCATGATAGGCCTAGGTATTCAAGAGACGCAAGGTTCCCAACCCAATCTGGTAAGGCTTCGATTGCTCCGAAGCCATCTAGAGACAGTGATGTGATGGTAGTCAAGCATTGAAGCTGATGTGGCAGAGACTTCATGTCGGGCATTCCACATAAAGAGACGCACCGGAGTGTTGATGAAGATGCTAACCCAGCCCAATCAAATTCGATTACAGAGTCATCTGTAAAGGGACCAATCTGCACTTCCCTTAAGCTGGTAAGATAGCCAAATCCACTAGGCATCTCAGCAATCAAGTTGGGACAGTCGAATAATTTGAAGCTCGCGAGAGAAGGGGTTCGTCGCAAATCAAGGGGAAAGGAGACCAGGCTGCGCCAATTGTATAAATTCAGCTCTCGGAGAGACGTACATGACTCGAACATCTCCACTGGCAATGTTGTTAATTCATGGCACCCATAGGTAAGAAGCATCTCAAGAGACTTAAGGAGGCTTTCCTGTCCTGTATTATGATTTGGATATCCAAATGAATTGATTCTCGGGCAGCCACCTACAGTCAAGTACCGTAAAGCTTGAAATTGATAGAGATCATCTGGCAACTCCCGTAAATTCTCACAATAATGGACTGCCAAACTCTCAAGACAAGCGGCGCAACTCATTCCTCTTAACGTTGTTATATTAGGGCACTTAAACAATTCTACACGCTGAAGAATTGGAATGAGCCAGAGTCGCTCAAGCATGTCAGTGGGCAGACTGTCACAACCATCAATCCTCAAGCTGATCTCTGGTCGTTTCACTAATTCTAGAGACTCGATGCTTTGAAGACCACCCCTTAATTTAAGGGAAGAGAGCGTGGTTATATTGCTCAAAACCTTTTCTGCCACCAAAACGTGGCAATTCCATTTGATTTTCAATACATCAAGACTTGGGAAACGACTTGGAGTTGGAATGATGGTCAGCTTGGGGCAATCGCTAATATACAACTTTTCCAGCACAGGAAACACATCCATCACATGTACTTCACCTGTGTTTGACATCATTTCGGGTGCGTCCTTCCACTCTTCCAAATTTTTCATGCTTTCAAGAGAGAGAATTTTGAGGGATGGAAAGAATGTTTGTCTGCTAATAGTGTCTGAACCTCCTGATCCGCCATCCTCCTCAGCACTTGTACTGTAGAATGAAAGCCCAATGCTTGTGTTTTCCAATCTAGTCAGATAGAGGCACTTGAGGAATGGCAGCTGTCCAAGTGCAGGGAGTTTTCTGCATCTTGTGCAATCCTCCACCCGCAACTCCACCAGTGATGTCAATGTCAAATTCATGAACCATTGTGGGAACTGATCACCCATGAACTTCAAAATTTGTAACTCTTTTAAATTTGGGTGAGGTTGGAGACCTTCCAACACATCTTCATCACATTTATCACTTTCCTGATCCCTATTGCCCCACTCAAACACCAACCGATACATATTTGGCTTTCTAGATAGGTTCGCTAGTTCAGCATCATCTTTGCCATTTACTAATTCAAGATTTCTGATCTCCAAGGAGCCTTTAAGATCTTGCAAGGTTCCAAGTTCTTGGATACCACGACCTTCCTCTTGATGACCTATGTTAAAGAACTCTAATGTTTGAAGACAAGTCAATCGTCCAATCCTGGATGGCATTTGGATTTCGGGTCTTCTATCATAATGGTGAAGATGTCTCATGCTAATCAAATTGCTCATCTTCTTTGGCAAACCTTCTTCAAGCATGCCAATTCTCAGTGTTTGCAAACTATAAAGTTTGCAAAGAGATTCTGGCAAAGTTGTAATCCTAGAACCTGAAATGTCAAGTAAGTGTAAATGTATTAGTTTGCCAATGGAGGTCGGCAACTCTTTGACATCTGCTCCAAACAATTTTAGGACATGCAAGTATTTGAACTTTGATAACATATCATCAGCTATGCCACCCTCCAGAAATAATGTGCGAAGTGATGCTGACGTTTTTTCGTTCATGTTTTCTACCATTCTTTCAGATGCCGCAAGGTAACGGTCCTGATTGCTGCTGTTACGATTCAAAATTGATTTTGCAAAATCATGTACAAGATCATGCATTTTATACCATGTTCTCCACTCCTCTTTTACTTCTTCCAATAAGGAAGTTTGCAGCAAAGTTTTCAGATACTTATATCCTCTTTTCTCCATTCTTTCATTTTGGGAATCCGATTGAAGAAAGCCTTCAGCCATCCAAAGCTCAACTAGTGGATCTTGTTCCAATTCAGCATCTTGATCAAAAATTGAGCAATATGCAAAACACTTCTTAACCGGTGCAGGTGAGAGATGATCAAAACTCACCTTAATTATTTGCTCGATCCCACCCTGATCTTCATTCAAGAGACTCTCCTCCAAAATAGATAGCCACTCCTCTTTTCTCTTTTTAGATAACAATCCTCCAATTAGCTTTGCTGCGAGAGGTAGACCATCACATCTTCTTAAAACTTGCTCCCTTATGTCTTCCAATTCTTTTGGTACTTCTTCCCCTACAGTTGCCCATTTTTTCATGATAGACCAGCAATCATTATTGCATAGCTTTCTCAGCTCATGGCGAGTAAAATTGATCTGCGGATGTCTAGACAGAATAATTGCCACTTCTTGCAGACGAGTGGTAACAAGACACCAGCTCCCTTTCTTCGTATTGAGTCCCGCCAAAGTGCTGAAAAAGTCATTCAACAATACTTCTTGATCATTCCACAAATCATCAAGAACAAGGAAATATCTTTTTTCCTTGAGTTCATGCTGAATTTTTTTAACTATTTCCTCCCTTCGATCCCGTTCAATCTCTCTATCTGTTAACGATTTTAGAACCATTTTGAAGACCACCTCGATTCTATCTACTTTTTCAGCCACACAAACCCACATTGTTTGGTCAAAATGTCCAACAATTTGTTCATTTTTGTAAACGGCTTTAGCCAGAGTTGTTTTTCCTAAACCACCCATGCCAGTTATGGGAATAACTGAAATAACACTTTCAGATTCGGTCAACAACTTCTTAACTATTTCTGTTTCATCCTCGTCTCTTCCTAGGACATCTCTTCGCACAATAGTAGAGTCAGTCTGTCGGCTTGTTGTGGCTCCGGCAGCAATAGTAGGGAATGCTTCTTCAACTCGGCGTTTGTAGGCCAGTCCCAAACCTTCGGCATCCCGATGGATCCTTTCAAGGTTCGTGTTGATCTCCCTGATCGTTGAAGCCAACCTCGAACGAAAACGGACTGTATTAAAGAATGAAAAGCAGAAGAATACCTTCTTTTTCATGAGTTGATTTTGATACTTCACCTTCCGGCGAAGATTTTCATAGTTGAGCTCGTCCAGCACATTGTCAGCTTTGAAAACCTCTTCTTCCAGCTGCTTGAGCCAATTTTGCACCCCAACAAGCTTCGGATCATGGCTATGCATTTCCTCATCAGCACCGGCCAAGAAGCCTCGGATCATTTCAGCAGATTTGTTGAGTCTCTCCAGCTCCTCTGGGAATTCACGAACCAAACTAACATGATCAGCGGCAAGGGAAACAACCGTCTGCAATGCAACCCGAATGGTAGCACTAACAGCAGCATCAGCCATTTTTTTTTTCTCGCTTGGGATTGGAATTACGATGAAAGTGTTGTGATATCGATGATGGTGATGGGGGGATGCTTTCTGCGATGAGACAAGGAAGGAATGGTTCAACTTTAGCAGCTAAGAGCAAAATCTGTGGAGGCTAATTAAAACTTGCAACTTGCCCGGCTTCAACTTCTTCCACTTTTTGCAATTTGCCCGGCTTCACCTTGCAAAGCTACACTCTAAAGACGTCACTTACAAAGTTTTACCGCTTTACTGTGACAATTTGTAGCATGTGTTAGCCAACTTTGGCTCTCTCATTCCTCCTTGTCACAATGCAGTAAGAGTGCAGGTACTAATATAAAATTGGCTTAACTTCTAACTCATCATCTTGTAGTTTCTCTCTTATCCGTTTTCTTTTTAACTCCTTCCGAATCCAATTAAAAATGTCATAGTTTTGAATTTTAAAATGTCTCAAAATATTTATCATTTTATTAAACTCAAATTTACTTTTGATCTCTTTTTTTCAAGGTTTTTTTTCCATGTTTATCAATATTTGGCATTAAATTTTGAATTTTTTAGAACAATTTTAGATACAAATCTACTAATATCACCGTCAAGTTACTTACTATTCTTAAAAAAATTTGAATCCCGAAATACGACAAATAATTTGGAGCAGAGGGAGTATTATTTTAATTTTCATCAGTTGTGCTTGTATACTCAAATATAATGATGATTTCTTAATTGAATTTTGGTACTTTGTATTGCATTTTGTTATTTTAAAATTAAAACACATATGGCTTTTTTACCATTAAAAACTTTTGAAAGGTTTTTTACTTTCATAATAGATTAGTGCAAAATCATCACTGATTATTTCCCCCCACAAACTCAATAGTGCAAAATAGTCCTGTTGAATATATATATATATATATATATATATATATATATATATATGTATGTATAAAATATAATGAACAAAAAGGATTAATCACTAGAGGGAAAATTTTGTACAAAAGAACAATTGCTAACTTCTAATGATATAAATACACACCAATTAAACATAGTAAGTAATATGGACTTAATTAAAATACTCCCTTCGTTCCGAAATTTTTGCTGCATTTTAGGATCTCTGCATTTATAATTTCAATAATGCAAGAACCTTAAATGATTTGGGTTTAGATTCCAGTAATACCCTGCTTGGAGTTTCCGGTGTTCATGCGTTTTTGAATGATAAAAGAATCACAACTTGTGACAAATTGAAACTGTTTTTGGCTCCTTGCAATCAAATTGAAATAAAGTAAAGGGTCAATTAGCACTAATCTCCAATGAGATCTTGCATCCCTACATTTCACCAAAAGGCAACCCAACTAGTATCATCCAAATACACAATTTCCAAAACACAAAATCACTAGTTATATCAGCAGCAGCATCAGAGAAAGGGAGGGAGGTTTCAGCAGCAAATTAAATAAGTAAAATCTGTGTGGAAGCTCTGAAGAAAGGGTAAAAATTGGGTTATGAAACAAGTTTGGTCAATTGTGGCGGCCTTTAGTTGTTTAAAAATTCCATTATTTTTGTTGTTAGGAATTAAAAAAACAAACGAAAGTGATTTCAAATCATATCAGTAGGTAGGACTTGTTTTAAGTATTGCTTGGTCAATAACCTAATAAGTGTGATTAATCTCTCTAGTTTAATTTCATCATCATTCACATCAAGTCATGATCACTTATTGGCGATTTTGTGTTGATTGGACGGACTATTTCTCTTTTCTGTTTTCTTATGTTAATGCGTGATCTACCCAACAAAGCATCATCTAGATGAATAATTAAATAGAACAATCTTGTTTGCTTCTAACAATTTTAGTCAAACAAATAAACCTTGATTTCAATTCTTACCTATCCTTGAATATCAGCATCTAATCGCTTGCATATGATGACTTCCCAATTTAAAAGTAGTGCTTATTGGCACACTTAACTGCCTCAACGCGTATAAGTGTAGTTCTTTGAAGTCTTCTTACCATAATATTTTGAGTTGTTATCACTTTACCCCCTTCAACTATATTACTACTATCAGTTTACCCTCTAACATTATCTTTTAGTCACTTCACTCCCATAAAACATTTTTATTGACTATAGGAATTACTTGCTTGTGAAATTGAGAAAGGATGAGAAATTGAATTGATCTAATCAAAATTATGGTATAATTGGTTCTCTTTTACTTGATATTTTGAGTGCTTGAGCGCACTTAAATGATTGCATAATGGTCATTTAACTTGTTTTGAGAAAATGAATTTGAATTATGCACATATGTTTAATTTCAAAGTGTTGGTTTGTAATTCTTAATTGATTGAAGACAAACAATAGTTCAAGTGTGGAAGAATTTGATAAGTGTGCATTTTATGTATTTTAAATGTGTTTTTTTATTTAGTTTTGGTATGTTTTATCCATTTTTTATAGGTAATGAACCGGTTTCTAGTGAAAGTTTGCATTTTATGGTTTAAATGTGAAAATTACATTTCTATGGACTAAAGGGGTGAAGACTTCATATTTTTGTAGAATTCAAGAATTCAATCATAAATTAGAATGATATGAGAAGACATTTGAATGATTGATGATGATTTGAAGGGATTTAAAGAGAATATAAAGTGTAAGATGTTCAAAAGAGGAAATACAATCAAGTATAAACGAAAGAAAGTTTGACAGCTTCGATATCTATTGGTATTTCAACTATATCTCGAGTTATAAGTTTTAGATTAAGGTAATTCTTGAATCATTTTAAATCAAACACATAGCTCTACATTTCTTATGAAGATATCGAAATCCAGTTCATGAGTCTTCCTAGTCAAAATGTCAAAAAACAGTTGGTCATTTTTTGTTGTCGAAAGCTGAAATGGGGTTCTGACTAGGCAAGGGTAATTTGGTGATTTATCAGTCTACAGACTTCCAAATCAGATGATTCTTAAAGCATTGGAAAGTTAACTCAAAGTAATATAACTTTCATATTTTTCACAAGAGTTAGTTAAACCTCTTTCACCAAAAAAAATATTAGTGGAATTTTGTGCACAAACAGAGCAAATTTGAAGACTGACCAGAAGGCAAAACGTGGGCCAAATACGCGACCTCAAACCATGTTTGCTGAGGTCATGTATTCTTCAACTGCAGTTACAATTTGTTCTGCAACTTGTATTCTATTCACACAAACTTTTTGACCAATTTGTCTGCATAAATTTCTGGCTAGATATGAGCAGGCAAGCATAGAGACTTTAAGAAACATTTTTTGGTGATTTCGAGAGACAATTTTGCCAACTAGAAACAACTCTCTTTGACCTTGAGTTCTCTATAAATAGAGGGCTTTGGAGAGCTTGTTTAATAGCTTTGGAAGGCTAGAAATGCTACCAAAAATGTAGTTTTCAATAGTTTTTCTTAATTTATTAGTTTAATTCATTACTATAGTATAATTAATATAGTTTTTCCATCTTGTACTTGCAGCTAGATTTGGATGAAGATTTGAGAAGCAAAGATGGAGAGTTGAAACTCATGTGACAAGGGTGACTTCTCTTCTACCACTTTCTCTTTTGTGTTTGAGTTCATGTTTGACTATATACAGGTATGGTCTTTTCTTTCATGTTCTTCATGTTTGCTAAAGTTTATGTCTAGAATTATGGATGAACTTTCTATAACTTGTTAGTGATGTTTAATTGGTAATTCAATGATATTATTTTGAACAAGTTGTTTGTAACTTTTACTTTTCTAATCATGATTAACCAATCATTAATTGTGATAATATTAAGGCATTAAATTTGCAATGAGAATTGGGATTTAACACTAGTTTAAGGAAGTGATAAATCTAGAGAGTTCACTCACGAGAGTAGAGGTGCATCTATGTGGGTTTAGTGACTTTGTTTCATGTAATTTCATAAAAGGAATGATCTTGTAGCTATTTTCATAACCATGAGAGTAGGTATGATTTAGTTACAAGTATAATTGATTCTTTACGAGAGTAGGTTTCATATCATATATTTTACGTGTTTGAAGTGTGTTTTATTAATTAGTTTTGATGTGTTTTGATTGTTTTTATAGCTATAAACTAAGTTTTTAGTGAAGTTTGCATTTCATGGTTTAAGTGTGAAAAGTTACATTTTATGGATAAAAGTGGTGAAATTTCATATTTTTGTAGATTTAATGATTCAATCATCAGTTGGAATGAGTTTAAAAGACAAATGAATGATTGTTGATGATTTTAAAGTGATTTAAAGAGAATATGAAGTGTAAAGTGGAAATGCAATCAAGAATATATAAAAGAGGAAAAGTTAGACAGTTTTGACATTGGTTTGTATTTCAGTTATATCTTGAGCTACACGCATCAGATTGAGATGATGCTTGAGCTATTTTGAAGATAACACATAGCTCTACATTTCTTATGAAACATCTAAAACCATTTCATGAGTTTTCCTAGTTAAAATATTGAAATACAATTAGTCATTTCTTTTGTCGAAAGTTAAAATAGAGTTGTGACCAGTCAAGGGTATTTCGGTGATTTCATAGTCTACATAACTCCAAATTGGATGACTTAAAGCATTGGAAAGTTAACGCAAAGGCCTGCAACTTTCTTGGTTTGGAAAAGGGCTAGTTCAGCCTCCATCATTAAGAAAATATCAGTTAAATTGGTGCTAAATTCACAGAAATGAAAACGTAAGTTCTAAATACACGAGCTCAAGTTACGTATTCATGAGGTCACGTATTCTCCCTTGTTTTCTGCAACTTGCACATCAACTTGTTGTACATTCATACAACTTTTTAACTCATCTACAACTCAAAATTTCATCTGTAAAGAAGAGTGTGGAAATTTGGAGAAACAACTTTTGATGATTACAAGAGCCAACTAGCACTAACTTTAACATGATTACTTGGAAGTTTAATCCTCTATATATAGGGGCCTTGGAGAGCGTATTTGACAACTTTGGAGGGCTAGAGACACTATCAAAATGTAATCTCTTCTTCACTAGTTTTTCTTAGTTTATTAGTATACTATAGTTAGTATAGTTTTTCCATCTTGTAGTTGTAGTTAGATTTGGATGAAAATTTGAGGAACAACAATGGAGAGTTGGAAGCCATGTGACAAGGGCGACCTCTTTCCTATCACTTTCTCTTTTGTATTTGATTTCATATTTAATTATAATGCAAGTTTGGATCTTGTTTTCATGTTATTGATGTTTTGCT